TTAATGGTCCCAGAGAAACAAAGCCTGCTGGAATATGTGGGACCTTTTGGGGCTTTTGAGGGTTGGGTGAATTTCTGTGCTGATCAGAAGAAAGTGCCAGTAATGGGAAAACACACATGTGGCTGCACAGGGATGGAGGTGGGCAACAATCCCTGCAAAAACAGGAGTGTCTTCCTTGCTTCCTCTCTATTTTAACTCCCCAAACCTTCCAGACCGGTTAAAAGAGACTCACACGGGAAGACTGTTCTTTTCAGCTCACTGGAGAACTAAATGGCTTGTGTGTAACGACAAGGCTGAAGTGTGCGTGCGTGCATGTGTGGATGCGTGTGTTCCCGGAGTGGCAGAACCATGGAAAAATCTTTCCAGAACGTCAAAATCTGTGCTCAGTCTCCTCATGACTTCCTCGAACAATCTGCAGTTCCATTGGATGGGTTTTGATCAGGAACACCTTCTCCAAGCAGCTTTGTGTGAAGAAGCCCCCACACTTAAGGGCGTACTGATTCCCCCAGTCACTGGATGGGCAACGCAAGGCCCTTTCCCAGCTCGGCCATCAGTGGTCCTTTTTGTGGAGGAGAGAAGCTGTCGTGAGCGAGGCTTCCCCTTCCCAGTAAGAAAGACTCTCCAGCACTTCTTGTCAGTGTCTTTATTTGACTGAGAAGACTCTACTGATTCTTGAGCATTTACTGGCTGTATGTCCTTTCAGAGCCTGGTGATCACAGCCATCTGTGCCGCTGAGCCTGGAAATTAGACCTCTTAGCTGACAGTGGCTTTGACTGTCAAAGGCACCTGGCCGCCTTCTCCAGCTGCAGCCCTCACTCCCGGCAGTCAGTGGGGGCAGTGCAGAAAGCACATCACAGAGTGTGCAGCCTGGGAATGCAGGTGGAGGCTGCCTGACCATGGGAGCTTGTGCAGCCGCAATTTGCTGTTCATCCTCTTTAAGACCATGGGGTCCATTTTTCCTTTTCCCAGTTTTCTGTTCAGGAAAGAGGCTAACCAAACTATTTATAAACTCAATGGATGTGTGACTCTCTGCCCAGAACTGCTCTTCTAGTTTGTGGCAACTGCATGTTTAAAATTAGAAAGCATCTTTAAAAATTCATGAACCATTTTCCATTGCTTTTATTCTTTCAAGTCCCCAAGTCGGCTTTTACCTTTGATGACCCATAAGACTCTCAGCCTCCTGCCTTCCATGTTTGAGTGGGAAGCAATCACGTCCCGCCTTTCTTCTCACACAGGCTCTTTTCCATGAATCAGCTTTAATGCCTGTAGACAGACAGTTTGTGTGTTCAGCTCAGAACCACAGAATAGTAGGGTTGGAAGGGGCCAAAGTGCCCCCTAAACCCTTGCTGAGTGCAGGCCCATTCCTCTCCGACGGCTTCCCAGTGTGCGAGAGCTCACAAACTCCCTAGGTCATTGCTTCCATTGTCATACTGTTCCAACAGTCAGGACATTTTTCCTGATAACCAGCTGGAATAGGGTTTCCTGCATCTTCATCGTGTTGTTCTATGTGCTGTACTCTGGGTTGATTGAGAAGAGACCCTGTCCTTCCTCTTGACAGCCTTTCAAGTATTTATAGAATCATAGGAAGAGGCCATGAAGGCCATCAGGTCCAACTCCCTGGACACCAATTTACACCATCCCACTCGGAATAGAATCACAGAGTGCTCTCATCTCTCCCCTCAGTCTTCTCAAGGCTAAACATGACCAACTCTTCAATCGCTCTTCATAGGGCTTTATTTCCAGTCCCCAGATCATCCTTGTTGCCCTCCTCTGAACCCTTCCCAGCTTGTCTGCATCTTTCTCAAACCATGGTGCCCAGAACTGGATGCAGTTCTCCAGATGAGGCCTCACCAGTGCTGAGTGGAGGGAAACAAGTACTTCATGGGATTTGGAGGTAATACTTCTATTTGTTGTTGTTGTTGTTGTTAGTCATGAAGTCGTGTCCGACCCATCGCGACCCCATGGACAACAATCCTCCAGGCTTTCCTGTCCTCCACCAACCCCCAGAGTCCACTTAGGTTCACACCAACTCCTTCAGTGACTCCATCTAGCCACCTCATTCTCTCCCGTCCCCTTCTTCTTTTGCTATCAATTGTTCCCAGCATTAGGCTCTTCTCTAGAGAGTCCTTCCTTCTCATTTGGTGGCCAAAGTATTTGAATTTCATCTTCAGGATCTGGCCTTCTAAAGAGCAGTCAGGGTTGATCTCCTCTAGGACTGACCGGTTTGATTGCCTTGCAGTCCAAGGGACTCACAAGAGTCTCCTCCAGCACCACAATTCAAAAGCCTCAATCCTTCGGCGCTCAGCCTTCCTTATGGTCCAGCTTTCACAGCCATACATTGCAACTGGGAAAACCATAGCCTTGACTATAGGCACTTTTGTTGGCAGGGTGATGTCTCTGCTTTTTAGTATGCTGCCTAGATTTGCCATAGCTTTCCTCCCCAGGAGCAAGTGTCTTTTAATTTCTTGGCTGCAGTCCGCACCTGCGGTGATCTTGGAGCCCAGGAAAATAAAATCTGTCACTACCCCCATTTCATCCCCATCTATTTGCCAGGAAGTGAGAGGACCGGATGCCCTGATCTTAGTTTTCTTAATGCTGAGCTTCAAGCCAACTTTTGCGCTCCCCTCCTTCACCCGCATCAAGAGGCTCTTTAGCTCCTCTTCACTTTCTGCCACTTCACAGTGGTATCGTCTGCATATCTGAGGTTGTTGATATTTCTCCCAGCAATCTTAATTCCAACTTGTCATTCATCTAGACCCACCTTTATCATGATGTGCTCTGCATATAAGTTAAATAGGCAGGGTGACAGTATACAGCCCTGCCGAACTCCTTTCTCAATTTTGAACCAATCAATGGTTCCGTGTCCAGTTCTCACTGTTGCTTCTTGACCCGCATATAGATTTCTCAAGAGACAAATAAGATGGTCTGGTACTCCCATCTCTTTAATTTGTTGTGATCCACACAATCAAAGGCTTTAGCGTAGTCAGAAGTTGATGTTTTTCTGGAACTCCCTAGCTTTCTCCATGATCCAGCGTATGTTGGCAATTTGATCTCTCGTTACTTTCCCTCTTCAAAATCCTGCCTGTACTTCCAGTAATTCTCGGTCCACATACTGCTGGAGCCTAGCTTGTAGGATTTTGAGCATAACTTTGCTAGCATGTGAAATGAGTGCAATGGTGTGGTAGTTTGAACATTCTTTGGCATTGCCCTTCTTTGGGATCGGAATGTCAACTGACTGTTTCCAATCCAGGGGCCACTGCTGAGTTTTCCAAATTTGCTGGCATATCGAGTGTAGCACTCTTACTGAATTGTCTTTTAAGATTTTGAATAGCTCAGCTGAAATACTGTCACCTCCACTAGCTTTGTTGTTGCTCAGATTTCCTAAGGCCCATTTGACTTCACATTCCAGGATGTCTGGCTCGAGGTTATCAGGGATGGTTATCAGGGTTATCAGGGTTATCGTGGTTATCAGGGATGTTATGCTCTTTCTTGTATAGTTTCTCTGTGTAATCTTGCCACCTCTTCTTAATCTCTTCTGCCTCTGTTAGGTCCCTGCCATTTTGGTCCTTTATCATGCCCATCTTTGCATGAAACGTTCCCTTCATATCTCCAATTTTCTTGAAG